AATTGTACACTACTTACCAAACAGTCTTACGACGAAGCCGAAGAGAAAGCGAAGTGTATGCGGTACCCTCCGCATACATGATTATAAATTTATTATTATTCCTTACATCCGACACCAACAACAACTAGCAGAGTTAACAAACAGCAAAATCATCATCATCATCAACATCATTTTGAGTTTTCTTTTGCATTGCACACACATTCTACTCTCTCATCTCTATCGTGGGCTACTACTTGCCTGTGTGGTGTGTATCTCCATCCCGTAAGGAAATTTTCTCAGTATATATCTGCTCCATTCATTTTCTGTAGTTTTTTTGTGCTGCCTGCTTGCTCAGCAGCATTCTTAGTTCAGTGTATAGTGCAAAAAGGAAATTTTCTCCGAATAGTATATCTCATCAGTCTCCGTCTTATGATTATAAAGTGTACGACGTCAGGAAGTTACCAAATCATATCGCACTTGACTCCACAGGCGATCGGACGCTAAAGAAGCTTAAAAAAATAATATTTAAAATAATTTTTTGGATATGAAAAAAAAAAATTAAATTAAAATAAAAAATAATTTCTTGTGACTTGGACGATGGACAAAAAAATGTGATGAATAAAAAATACTCGAAATGCATAAATGGATTTAATGCAAATAAAATGAAAAGAAAATAATTTGTGTGAAAATAAAGTGAAAAGTGAATGGAAAATGTAAGAAAACAATTTTTTCTGTGGACAAATGGAAAATTGAAAAATATTTTTGGACAGTGAAAATTAAGCGCTATTTGAATTATTCTCACAAGAAAAAATATTAAAAAGGACATGAAAATTATTTTTGTGAAAATAGTTTTTTGGATTTTATCACTTTGATCATTTTATGTGCCAAGAATTTAAACAATTTTTTCATTCACAATTTTCCGGCTAATTTTGAAAAATACATTTTGCAGTTTTAAAATTATTTTGAATTTTTATTTTCTACGGCAAGTGAAATAAGTGAAAGTAATTTACAAACAAAAAAGGTGCTTTGTAATGTTAAAAATCAGACACCAAAACAGATTTTAAAAATTAAGAAAGTTGAGAAACATCAAAAAAGCTTAAAAAATTATAATTTATAATTTTTTAAAAGAAATTTTAAAAGTTTTGCAATATTAAAATTTAAAAATTTTGATAAAATATATATGAAGAAGTTAACAATGTTTCACAAATAATTAAAAAATCCTTACTTTGAACTAAGTTAATGATTAAAGCTAATATATTAACTTTTCCTGAACTTTCACTTGTTTCACATAATTTTTAAAATTATTATTATATAATTTCATGCTCAAAAAATTCTTAAAAATCAAAAAAAAAATATTTTAACACAAATTCATCCCATTTTAGTTTCAAAAAAATTCAAAATCATCAAGACAAAAAAAAGATACTGAAAACCAAACAAAAAAAAATTCAGAAAAATCCGTAAAAAAATACAAAAAAGTGTTGATAAGAAAAAATAAAAAAAAAGTATCAAAGCTGTAAATTAAGTTTTTTTCGCTGTAATTAACCCATAAAGAATTGTGTATAAAGTAAATCCTAATGTAAATTAATTTGTACAAAAGACCTGAAAAAACAGAAAAAAAGTGATAAAACATAAAAAAAATAAAAAATAATTCGGAAATGAGAATTAAAGTTTCCGATCAAGATAAACGAAAAGTGTGCAACAATAAATTGTGGAAAATTAAAAAATCACAAAACATTTATAATGACGATTAAGTGGCAATTGTGGAAAATTTGACTTTTTGTTTGAGAAGAATTTTTTCAAGGTAGAAAAATTTTAAAATTGTGGAAATTAATTTGGGTGCCTATTCAAGATTGGGGGGACTTAGTTCAAATTTTGTTGGATTTTTAAAAATAAAATTGAATAAGTGGATTTAAAATTCAAGTAATTTAAGCAAATTATTAGGTTTCACAAAGCGTGTGTCAATTTAAACTAGTTTTGGTTGGAAAATAATTTTAAAATATTTTTTAAAATTAATAAATGTTAAATACAATAAAATGAGTTTTTAAAATCATCTTAAAAAGTTTAAAAACTTAAAAAAATTTAAAAATTCAAAATTGCTCCTAATCTTTTTAAAAATTAAAGATTTAAAATATTGAAGAAAAGAGAGAAAAGTTTCAAATCGAACAAATTAAAATTACTTAAATAAATATTTTTCGACACCCCCAAAAACTCTTAAATCTCATTTTAAACCCCTCAAAAAAATCCACAAATTCCATTCAACATCTCAATCTATTCGCTCATCAGTCCCCATCATCAACACATAAATAAATCAATTAAAACTGTCAACATAATTACCTTCAACACGAGCGATTAAAAAACAAGCTTTTTTTATGCTGCTGGTGCTTTCTCTTTTCACACATTCAAGTGCCACGACAGAAGAAGAAATAAAATCCTCATCCTGCCAAGTGTCATGATAGTGTTTGTCGAGTGACACTTCAAAAATAGTGTGAATTATTTTCTTTCCTGCTGCTTATTTTTTTTTTCGTCTCTCCATCTCACTTGCTCCCATGTACTAATTGTTTATGCACAAAACGGTACTTTACATTCACTTTGTGGGTGCTCTTTTATACATAATATGTGTGTGTATTTGGCTGTATGTTATTGCTGTTGCTCATTGCTCATTGCCATTGCCTCGATTATGTTTGCATAGAAATTTCCTTTTGGTGATACTTATAGTGACATAGAGACGTACTGTATGCCAGGAATAATGAAGAGAAAAACTAGCGAAAAAAAAAGAACAAAGAATAAATTGTGTATTTGATGTTGTTTTGTTTGTTTGTCATGTTTATGGCATAAATAGAGAAAGTGGTACAGGCATGACTAGAAAAATGTCAGAGAATTAATCATAATTTATTAAGTGACTTCGCTATTCAGATATGCCTGGATGCACTGTAATTAGTTGTAGATCAAAAGAAATTGTTGACATAAATTTCAATTGTGGAATGATTGGTGTGAATTGAGAATTAAGCTGAAATAATGTTAAATTTCGCACCTCATTTGAATTGAGATATTAAATGCTCATCATATAATGGAACTTAATGGTATTTGCGAGCTGTGAATTTCTCTTTGAATCAAGGACGTTACAAATATGAAATGAGCAACTTCAATAAATTGGAATCATTTAGATTAATCCATCCATAGTGTTAATTGAGAATATAAATTACGAGACTTGTGTTGAGAACCGTACAAACTGAATTTAATTCAAGATAACTAATGAAAAAATTAAAAAGGACTTAAAAATTTAGGATTTTGCCAAATCCTGAAATGAAGTTTCCTGGGATTGAAGTCTTAAAAAATTGAAGTCTAAAACGCTATAACTCAGTCTTAAGTCCTGTCAATATATTCTACAAAACCTTTAAAACCTTTAAAAAACTTTAAAATCGAAATCTAATTCAACTTTAATAACAACCTCACAGTCCAATAATTTTAATCAATATTTTGACTTTTAAATTTCAAGGACATTCAAATGCTTCCATGGAAACCAACAAATCTCAGAAAAACCGACACAGAAAAAAGTTCAGCATCACACATGGCTGCATAAATTAAAGGGGACAAAAAAAATATTTCTTCAACTTTATTTTCATCCTCTGAATTCCCAATTGCATAACTTTAAGGCACAAAAAAAATATTTTTTTCTGATAAAATAAAATTTCTGAGCGTTCGCTTTCATTGTGTGGTGCTGCTTTTATTCTGGAGGGGAAATTTCATTCAAGTTTTTTTGTGTTTTCTTCTCTCGAGCAATTTTTTTTTTGTTCTGCTTTGTCGTTTACTTTACGACATTTTCTTATTTCTTATTCGCTGAGACTTAAGACAATTTTCTTGGCCCTGCCCACAATTGTCGTGTGAGTGTTTTTTGAGTGAGGTGGTGAAGGAGAAAGTTTTTTTTTTTGTGGGGGTTTGTGGTAATGAATAAGGAGGTTTTGAATGGGAAGAATTTAAATTGCTGAAAAGTTTTTATTTTGAAATAAAGATTAAGAGCAATTTTTCTGATAAATTTATGAAATTAAGAGTTTTTAAGTTTGGAATAAGAGCAACTTTATTTAATCATACAGAAAAAGAGTATATTAAATGAAAAAGAGCGAGAAACTTCGGTTGAGTGAATCGTAATTTGTAAATAATAAGCCAAAAATATAGTTGTGTAGATATGAAATTCCATGAATACATAAATTATAATTATCATGAAATATAATATATTTTCAAAGAAATAAAACTCACAAATGTTATATTTTATTCTTCAAATTTTAATTACTAAAGTTTAAATTCATAAAGTCATATTAATCATATTTTTTTTATTTTATAACAAAAAAATCCAAACATTGAATTTAGATTGAAACGAATGATGAAGACTTCATTTGAATTCTAAAGTTCAAATTTCCTCATCAAAAACGTAATTCAAATTTCTGTTAATATCTTTTTGTGTTTAACTACTTTTAGTGCTAATTTTTAAATAAAATTGTGCAGCTTCTAGCTCCTTTAAGCTTACTTTAATAACAATATATTATATTGAATCATAATTAAAATTGAAACTTAATTCAGTAGGATTCAAATATTTTTCTAATTTGGGTTCTATGGATTCTTATCTTTTTGTTTTTGGATGATTTGTCAATATAAAATTAATAATTCTTCATCAAAGTTTGTAAAGTCGTATTCTTGACTGCAAACTAATTCCAAACATTAACTTATAAATTCTTTAATTCAAAAACAATCACTTAACATTAAAAATTAGTTTTAAGCAAGCTTTAAGCTAATCCATATGAGCTTAGCCTTCTTATAAGCTTGCTTAAAACTATGTTTTAAAAACTTAACTTAAGTTCATTTCTTAACAAATCTCTAATTCCAACTTTTCTACAACATTTTTCTTTACAGATTTCTTCCACAAATCATTCAATTAGACATTACACCGACTTAGACATAAAACACATAAAGAAACATAACAAAAATCATACAAAAAAAAACTCATTTAAAAAAACTAAAAAGAAAATCTTTAAGAAACATCAAATTCAAAAACCCAAAATAAACACTTAAAAATATTCATTGCGACATCAACAAAAGGCCCAAAAACATTGAAGAAGCTTTTTTTGGTAAAGGACATCAGACAGATAAACAAAATCTTAAAGCAGTTCAGGTGAGTTGAAGATTTTATTGACAGTAAAAAACCTTTTTGAAATGAAAAGATTATAAAAATAAGTTTGAGGAATAAATTAATGATGGATATGGATAAGTAAGATGAAGATTGTTGCGTCAAAACATTGGTGCATAGTTTAAGGTGAATTAAAAATCGAATTAAAATTAAGATTAGGTTTTAAAATACATAATTTAAATAATGGAATTTTTTGAAAAAACAACTTAAATTTTGGTTGAAAAATAAGAAATTTTATGTGAAATCTAAGTTAATTGGCTTTATATGAAGATTGCAAAAAACTATGTTTGTATATGACTAATATCCAGGGTAAACTAACCTTAGTAGTTGTATAACTAAGTTATCTGACTGAAAAGTCGTAAATCACTTCAAGAAAAAAGGTTTAATTCCTATCGAATTTGACATGTTTTACAAAACTTAATGAACAATTCAGTCAGAGAACAATTACTTTGTGTTTTTCAGAGATTATCCATGTCCATCATATATATTCAATATCTAAAAAAATGTTTGTTTGCCAATTATCATGACGATATTAGTTGTACTTATTTATTCATAATAATCATAAGAAGTATTACTAAATATACACGAATAATACTTTTAAATTTTAAGTAGAAACGATTATTTGCTACACTGCTATCTCTTAATATAAAATATTACAAATTTACTAAGAAATATTTCGCTAAATCATATTTAAACCCTGAATTAATTTAAACTCACTCCAAAACCAAAGCAAGATATTTAAAAAAATATATATTCATTAAAAATGATAAGAAAAATGACTTTAAGCAAAATATACATAAACTCATAGTTGTTCATGAATAAGCACATTAGCTCAGAAAATTATTCTTCTTTTTATGACAACTGAGGAAGTGATAAGAAAAATCATTCTTTATAAAAATTCATTTTTAATCACATAAAACAACTCGCTGTGCTGCTCATTTCAAAGAAATTTATCTCGAGAATTGTTGTTTTTTTTAATGTCTAGAAATAACGACAGAACAAAAACCACATGTGAGTGTGTCGTATGACGAAGTCCAGGCAAGATATAGTCTGTTCTGCAAATGATTAAAAAAAATTATTCATATATCTACATATTCATAAGTGGAGGCGTATTTCTTTCCTCGAGATACTTAAAAAAAACTCACAATATGGGTATGATATGAGTTGAGAAAGTCAGACGATAAGAATAGGCTTATGAAAAATGTGGAATTAAGAAATGTGCAGATTATGTGGGTTTGAATGATAAGAAGGCACAAGTTTTTGCATATTTATGGAGATTTTAGTTTGTCAGATGAATTTAAAGTTGAATTTATAGCTCATTTTCTTTATTTTTGGGTTTATTTGTACTGAATCAACAAAATTCTTATTTAACGGTTTTGAGAAATTTGAAATTTCTTTTCTTTAAGCTTGATTTTCAATATTGAAGCTAGCTTGAAGTCAGTTGTTGTTGTTTTAACTTCATTTTTAGCAAGATTCTTAAATTCTTCAATCAAAAAGTTTTGGAAGTTTTATTTTCAATCTAAAGTGGCTCTTTAGTCATTAATATACTCAAATAACAGAAAGTAAACACAAATCTAGGATAAAATCTACTTAAAAAAGTTATTACCAAAAATAACAAAATTCCATCCACAAATTTATCACATTCCTGTCAACTAAAATCTCACTAATTCCTCTCTTATCACCAAAATATTTAAATACTACCCCACTTAATTTGCTCCCATTCCATAAAGTATCGCCCGTACAAAATCAATATTTTCCATTCCATTTCATTTGCACCTTCAAGTTGTTTACAGCTCAACGAAAATTGCAATTTAGAATAAGCGAATAAATATGAAAATTGGAAACAAAATAATATAATCGAAGAATTTCTAACAAGCTTCACCCAACCTCCTTCTTTCTTTCTACAACCTTATCGAAAAGAGCACTTCAAAGAATGATAGTTCATTGCTATTTATTCATAACAATTTGCAAATACAAAACAAATTTTCCAATTTAAAAGACTGTGCATTCTTTTTTTTTCTAACCAATAAGGGTTGAAAAGCCTTCAGAAATTTTCTACAACAAGATTTCACTTTAATGACACGAAATTGCTGCAATTTCTTGAAATATATATATTTTTTTTTCGATTCACCTTCAAAGCCCTTTCTCATGCTTAAATATTGTAATGGAATAAAAATACACTCAAGTCGCGTGTACAAGACAGCGATGAGTACCGAAAGAGCTGAACAAAGAAAAAAGCAGAAAAAATTATAATTTCATTCTTGTCATCACAAAATCAACAGCTTGAAAGGCTGAAATTTTGCAAATATTTTTTTTCATAGACTTAGGAAATAGGAATTATGAAATAAAAAATTGGATTTTCTGATGTTTATTAGAAAATTGTTTTTTTTTGAAAGAAAATTGATTTTGAATGGATTTAAAGGAGAATAAGGAAGAATAATGATTGTAGGTATTTATTGGGTAGTTGAGGTGACTTTTGGGGATGACGCTAGATTCTTAAAATCAATCAAAATTGAACTTTCTTCCACTTGATCCAACTCGATTGACTCTAAAACAGCTGAATAAACTTGTGTAAATTAGATAACATCCATTTCAATCACAAATCATGACTTGCACTATTGATTTCTCAAAACTCACGTGTTTTAAAATTTTTTTATTATTTAACATTCAATTCATGAGATTATTAGGTCATAATTGCTATTTATAATCATTTCATTATGTCAAAACATCTTTTTTGGATGATCCTGATGACCACAGTCAGATGTTTGTGAATGTGAGCAATGAAATTTAGTTTTAATATCTAGTTGCGTATTTTGTGAATAATAGCTAATTTATATTAAGAAATGACTTATCTACAATGTTGACAGCTGGGTTTTAAATTTGATTAAATGAGCAATTTAGCAAGAAGATGCTGTTTATTTGCGAGTTTTTAAGGTTTTTTCTATGAATTCTAATTTACTATTAATTTTTTTTTTATTTAAAAGAGTTAACAATCATAAGATTTTTTGTAATATTTAAAAGTGATTAATCTAATCAGTAATGACACAAAAGCGTATAACACTAGCTTGGTGTAGTCAAAGCCACGTTAGAGCCCAAATATGACACATACTCTATTCCATGATATACTATTAGCATTTAGTATGAATTCCAACTTAACCCGAAATCAAAAACAATTTATTACCCACAATAATTCAACAAAAATAAAAATTAAACAAATTTTGCTGTCAAAATCAAGTCATAGTTTATTAAATCTACACAAAAATAAGTTGAATGACTTCACCATGCGTTTTATTATAAGTTCGCACTATAAAAATAATAATAAAATGTTTTCACATTGCAACAATGTTTATTTCGAATTTTTAAATCATTTTGATGGTATTTATATTATATAGAAAATATTAGTTGAGGTGTTGGAATGTGACAAAAAAAAATATATAATAAAATTATAGATTGACTTATTTAATGATGTTAAATTGTTGTTTAGCTTAGTGACCTATTTTAGGGGTTTTTTAATAATTTTTTTGAGAATCAAACATTTTTGGAGTGTATTCATTCATAGTTTTGAACAGTCGGAGATTTCAAGCCACATATCTTGTGATTCATTCAACCACACTCCTCCAAATCATTCAAATAACAACTAAACATCAAGTCCAAAACATAAATTGATTCTTTTACAACCCAAAAAATAAATTTAAAATTACAATACATGAAGCAATAATTTAAAATGAAAAAAAAAATAAGTAATGTTCACAACCTGTAAATGTGACATTCTATAGGTAAGTTAATGAAAGACATAAAGCAAATCAACTCAGAAAAAAAATAATATACTTCCTCATACATCCGGCCTTTTATTATTTTTGCTTCTCACTAAATCTACATGTGTGTCTAGCTTTTTCATTCATTTAATTTACTTTTTATTTTAAATGGAAGTGAACATGAATGTTGTGGGGTTTCTGAAGTCGCTCAATTGAGGGCGTTCAGCTTATTTGATATGAGAAATGATTATGCAGTAAAATTGAGGTGGAATTTTTTTCGCATCAAAAGTGCGTTTAATAAAGTTGAGGCAGAAATTTTTCGCATCAAAAGTGCGTTCAGTAAAATTGAAGCAGAAATTTTTGTATCAAAAGAGCGTTCAGAAATTTTTTTAATAAGAAAAGATTAAAGCTGACTTTGTGAACCTCAAAACAAAATCATAGAGCCTACTTAGTATAGAATGAATTGGATATTATTACATGAAATAGAAAAACTCAAAACAACTCTTTTTTAAATTCTCCTTTTCTATCATTCCGCTTTCTGAAAGCATTACGTAAAATGCTAATGCCCATCAATTGTATGAAAAAAGAGTAGCAGTAATAATCATTAGAATTGGTGATCTTTGGACAGTAGTTCCGGTCCCGTTTACTCAATACTTCATAGCTCGCGACAATCAAGTAAAGCACATGCAGCAAAAAGAATTAATGTACGATGATATTTCATCATTCTGTTTCTACACCTTCAATTTTTTTCCTCGATGCTTTCCATTCCTCACACATTGTTGTGCTGCTTTCCCCCCATTCACGTTTTTTTTTAAAAAAAATCATCATGATCATTATTATCATCACCGTCGTCGAAGTTGAAATCGTGCACATGAAAAAAAGCTATAAAGTGCTGCTTATAAACAAGAATTTAATGAGGAAATTATTTCCGTTTGCTTTTTTATTCGCGTTCTCGAAACAAAATCACGGTCTGAAAAAAAAAGTTGCTTGCTGTTGATGTTCTATAAAGAGTTTCTGCCTTGTGCTTTTTTTATATAATATTTTTCAATTAACTAATATTTCCTGTTGCCCTCCTTTAGGGAAATCGTGTAGATTGTTAGCTGCCATTATCTCTCTTTTCATGACTTGTTTATTACGTTTTTTTCTCGATTTACGAAGCGTTTCGTTTGAAAAAAATGTACAGTCGATGCTCAGGAAATTGTTATGATGTATTTCTCAACTGCTATGTTC